TTTTTTGACAATTAAATTATTATGGAAGGGGGTATGGTCCACAGACTAAATGTCAGGTTAGGGAAACCCTTTCTTGGAAATTAACTTACCGAAAATGGTACTTTATCTGATCGCTTCTACACAATTTCAACTTGTGTACATTTTTACACCTTTGCCTTAATGATTTTGATTTATTGTATCAATTAAACTTAAATGTTCTTTAATATCATGTGAGTATAAACCTCATATAAATACTACCTCTGGGTTAAAATGCTGAATTTTCAAAATTCTTTCTCTAAAATACCTTTAATTTTGTTATTGAGCTTGTGTACTGGAAAAAATTAGGAGAAATATTTTCACTAGTTGAAAACTAATTTTCGGAAATAAGAGTGCAATATAGAGTTATAATATATAATGTAAGTGTAATATGCCATTGGAAAGCTAAAGAATTTAGAAAAATGAATATCTACCATCGTATCGAAGGTAATGAAGAGTTAATAAATAATAATAATTATAGGCTTCCTCCAGTGCCTGGCACCACTAGCTGATCCAGGATTTAATTTTGGGGGGGCCTCAGCCCGAAATATATTTTTTTTATGTATATAACAATAATTATTTTGGAAAAAAAAAGAAAGATACTAACTACATATATGAAATGGTGTTTAAGTGATTCTTCAAGTCCTTATAAATCCAATTACACGTACAATAATACTTTAATAGATAATTTTTTTCAATAAAACAACCGTACATTTTACCATTTTTGGTGGGGGAGAGAGAGTCCTTCAGTCCAAAAGCCCCATTCTTCCCGTAGATTAGCCTGTGCCTGGCACAATGCCCTGATGAAGACCTACAAAGTGAATAAATGAATGAAGAACTAACTAATAAAATACTCTTGTAATATTAAAGTATTTAATTCGATCTCACCCCTGACCAACTCCTTCTCATTTAATTGCTATAGTTAAAAATGTCTAATTTCATATTACTGAATGAGAAATAAACATTTCCATTGAAACTAAATAGAATTTCCTAATAAAGTTGGCTGATTAGTGAAACTTGGATGATACACTGCACCAGATTTTTGTTGCCATTACCATGGCAAGAAATAACAGTAAAAGTAAATAACGAAAACAAAATAATAAAAAGAAAAACAGATAAAAAAATAAAGGGAAGTTTAAAGATGGTAAAATCAAATCCTGGAAATAAAGAAAGAAAGTAATGATAGTAATAGTTCAAATTACTTATATATAATATTGTACATATATATATATATATATATATATATATATATATATATATATATATATATAGATATTTGTTACATATATATTTATTTTTAAACATTCAGAACTATATTGTTCATTTTACAATAGTTGTTTTGATTTTATACATTTATCATTTTACACATAATAAAAACTTCCACTATTTTTTTTTGTCCATCATCCCTCCTCCAATTAAAATGGGAAGTCTGCATCTATGCAACTAGCATTTATAAAGTTAGCACTCGTTACTCAGGAAAATTTTGGTGGTTGAATCACTCCCATGTTTAACTAATAATAACTGAGGGCGGGGTGGCCGAATGGGTTAACGCGTGTGCACTGCACCGCCGTTGCCCGGCAACCGGATATATGATTCTATGATATGAAAATAGTCACGAGTTCGCGTCCCGGTGCCAGAGGGGATTTTAAATTCCCCTCTCTCACCCTCTGGTCCGGGAAAATCCCGTATAGCCTAAAAGGCGAGGTAGGGAAGAACAGAAAAAAAAAAAACTAATAATAACAGAAATATATATATTTTTATATATTGCTTAGTGAACCAAAAGGTTTAATGCCGACACTACCAATCTCTGTCTGCACACCTCCTTTCTTTGGTCGCCCCAGTCTCTACAGGTCCATTATAACGAAATATTCTCATCTTCGGTTCAGTTGTCACAGCAAATGTAAATATTGGTTAGAAATAGTTTTTTTCTACAAATTTCTACATCATTCTTCATTCAAACAGAATTAAGTTAGATGAAATACTTGAAGGGGCTTTTAGCAGTACATAATATAGATAAATTATGTAGGATAAATAAAATTTAGATAATTCAAATAAAATAAATTTATTAATAGTTGAAGTGGTTCAATATCCCTCCCGATCGATCATTAAAAAAAAAACATAATTCTCTTTATTATTGTGTTAGTAGCAGTAGCAGCAATAACTAATTTTTATGTGTAGCAGTGGCTCTCTACTCTCTCAAATTATTAGATTAGTTGCATGTTTGCATCCTTTTTCTTTTATTAACTTTAATTAAGTTTTTAAAAATAATCTCACATTAACTTGGGCATTTTGAATAGTTTTACATACTTACTGTTGATTATTTATTTATTTTTATATTAATTTGCGTTTCATTTTTTAATATAGTCAAGCAGTTTCCTTTTTTTTGTACAATTAAATACGATAAGCTGTTTTTTTTTTCATTAATTCAAGTTTATATTACGTTGATATTTTGTTAAAATTTGTTTCATATTATGGTTTAACCATAATCAAAGCGGACCTATATCCTTGGAGCCAGGGCCTCAAAAGGGACCTCATCGTAGGCGAAGGTTTGATTGTTTTGATTTAAGACAGTAACTTGACGGTCGAAAAGGGAAATATATTGTGACAAATGTGGGATTATTTTATCTTGTATAGATGGGTTCAAAAATATAAAATACAAAATTTTTAACGCTGACAACCAAGAAAAAAAATATATATATTTTCTTGTTATCGTTCTTTCTTTTTTTTGGTATAATTTCTGAACTTTAAGAAACTAAAGAATGTTAAATTTTGCGTCGGGTAATTTGGTTAACTACTGTAAATGATACTGATGTAATTTGTCTCAGTTTCCGGACTTTTTCTTTCATTGGCTCGACAGACCATTACTGATCCATCTCCTCTAATAATTTCCGACAGTCTGCACGCTTTTAGACAGTATGGCTCTAGTCCCTGATCTCCAGAATCGCCCGGGCGTCCTCCGTTTCGCCATTAATCCATCGAAGATGCGGTCATTCTCAACGACTGTTACAATAAATGGCCTCGCTGATTATTTTTCTGATGATCTCATCCTCTGACATTCGACCTGCATAGTTAGTCTACCTCGGTCTTCCCAGTCTTATATGCTTCACGATGTCATGTTTACCAAGGAGGTTAAATATTTCTTGATTACCTCTCATGAGGTATGTTTGACCGGCTCTTCTTGGTCCATTCGACGCACAATTTAACGTTATTTAATTTCTTAAATAGTACGTTTCTCGCTTCGATGAAACGTCCAAGAATTATAGAATAAAAAGCAAATAGAGATCGAAAAAAACTGGCATTTTTGGCTATACAGGTTTTTCTCCTGGTGGCCTATGTTAGTAATATTATAGACTTTATTAATGAATATGGACCGAAATTGCATTCTTCGAGAAAAGATGTAATAAATAGTTGTGATTGTTAATTTTTAAAAAATTTATACATTATAATTACAGAAGCCCTTTTCTCTACTGTAATTGAGACTCATTTATTTTACTCTATAAGGTAAAATGCAACGATATGTAATAATTTTTCTTAATATTTATTAATGCATCAGTTCTTCAAGCCTCTCTTGTAATATGAATTTAGAAATAAGCCTTCATTGTAGTTTATTTTAATTCTTTTCGTTGACTAGCGCCCACTTGGGTCTAGATAAAGCTAGCTCTCTCAAAACTAAATCAGTTATTTACCTTCTTAAAAATCTATAAGAATACCAAATTAGTAAATTCAAAGAAAAAATAATTAAGTAATGCTAGGAAGAAATTGACAATGGAACTGCATAGGAAAAATAAATATATTTCCCATGGCGTTTCTTTGTCAATTCATAATATTAATTCATATTCATATATTAATTCTTTGTGAATTCATAATATGAAAAAAATTATGCTATACACCAGTTAAATAATAAATACATAAGGCACCTCAATGCAAGAATGTCCATCTCTACAAAGAAAATCTCTGGCGCATTTGATGAGATTGGAATTGTTAAAAATGTCTCTGCTATTATCTATCATAGATAATAATAATAATAATAGATAATAATGCTATTATCTGCCTATATAATAATATATACTCAATTTGTTCTTTGACTATCAAAAGTGAAATATTACATTTATCAAATATTAGCAAGAGGTTGAAACGTTGTAAACAATTCTGTTCTGATATTTAAGACAAATATTCTACACATAAAATATTTTTTTTTCAACATGTTTCGAACATAGTAATTTATTTTTAGAATGAGATTTATAATTTCATTTTAAATATTGGAATATTTCACTTAAAAGGAATAGTTTATATTGTAAACATTGCATTGTTCTTTTGTTGCATTATTGATTAACTATTTATCTAAAAGTAACATGTTATTGTGAAATATAAATATATAAAATTGGAAGTATACAGTTATTAAAAATGAAATTCAGAAATGAAACGTGAACCAAATGATCGATTTGATTAAAGGAAAGATAATTTTACCGGGAAGACAGAATATAGCTGACAATGTTTAAGCGGTCGTAGAGTTGAACATAATATTATAGTTGAATTAGGCAATAGAGGTTGATCAATAATTTCAGTTTAAGTGGAAGGAATCAGAGTTTATAAATAAGAATGTAAAAACTTGCGTGAGTTGATTTGTTTGGTTTTTCTAATCCTTACGTAATGTAGAATCTTTACACGCATTTAAAAATAAGAATTTATCGTGAAATGGGTCCCTGTCACAAGTGCAATTTATATTAGAAATTCCAATGTCTATGAAATTTTCATGGAGAAATATATCAAGTTCGTCTGTGTAGGTCATTTGTGTTCTTTACAAGAAAAGTTACGAAGTTCTAACTTTTCGAGGGATACTGAACGAGATATTAACAAGGAATATTGTTTGAAGTGTGATGAGAGGTCTGATATTGAAGATAGTGTAGGAAGAGTGGTACTCGGAGGAAGGATAGATGCGATATCTGATAGATTTTGGTTGGGATAAGAGTAGGAAACATTCTTTTCGAGTGGAGGATTAATCAATTATGGTGGGAGGTAGACCCTCCTTTGATTCCGTTGCGTAGTTTTCAAGTTTGAGAGCTTATGGTGAAGGATTAAGCAGAGGTAAAGACAAGAATTGACTACTACCAATAAACAATAATGTTTATGGTGTAAGTAGGCGTTTTGAGGTTACATATAATAGGAGTTAGTGGGTTGTTGATTTTGTTTGAATGATGGAGATCGCTGGACTCGGCAAAGGCCCAGGTATGTCGTAATCAGGAACTATAGCTCTTTCAGATTGCAATTTAAATGCTGCGCTAAAAGTTTGTTATCTCTGCATATGTTTATAAATATTGAAAACTCTATGACTTGCTGGGTATGAAATGAAGAAATATTTAAGGAATCCTGTTTACATAATTACTTAGAACCAATGCTAATTCATGAATATATATTTATTCCAGTATTCATAAGGGACAAATAAAGCGTTACATAAATTATTTTCAACCATATAGTATTGTGAGTGACGATAGTGCACAGCATTACTCTTTTAATGATATATTTATTTTGTCTGTAATTTGAGTTATTTAGCTTAATATGGAAACAAGAAAAGATCAAACAAAGATGGTACCTCCAGATGGAGGATGGGGATGGCTTATTGTTTTAGGATCATGTTTAATAACTGTGAGTAATATTTTGAAACTTATAAAAAAAAAATATTATAAATATATAAAGTTACTATCGACGTTATCATCATTAGCTAGGAGGGAGTTCTAATTATTGCCAATCAAAAATATCCTTTTAAGCCTTTCAGAGAATAAAAAAAAATAAAATAAAAATAAACATAAATAACAGCTAACATCTTGATTCATGTTTCATAATAATTAGTACAGAGAGCGGAGTGACCCAGTGAGTAAGGCACTCCTATATTTAGGGTCCCGGGTTGGAGTCCGGCTATTGCAGGTAATTATTTACTGTTTCATCAGGCATGGATCGATTTAGAGGTTCGGGACCCCCAGACTTAGTAAAGTGGTTACTCTAAAAAAAAAAAAGCCTGCCAAGTAAGGTCAGTATAGCTTCCTAATGGTTTTCATTGGCTAAAGAATATATATATTTCAAATTTAATAGTTTTTTGTATGATAATAAAATCTTTGGGAGAAGCCAAGACCACGACGAGCTAGTTGAAATTCAATAGAAATAAACACCATTACAAATAAGACTTTTTTTTAAATAAATAAAAAATAATTTCAATCACACGAAATCTAAGTAACAGCAATTAGTGTAATGCCAGTACGTTTGGAATCAACCGAACAATACAGTATAAATATAATTTTAAAAAATAATAATAAAAATAACAAAAAAGTTTATACTTTTTAAGTTATTCGAAAATCTAATTTTACCACCCCTCGTAACTTTTTCCAGCTTCTTTTTGTTGAAGTATGTTATATAAATAAATTTTAAGGGTTTCGAAAGAAAAGACTTCAGCAAAGTTTTATTGAAGTTAGTATATCCGTTCAGGCGCTACAGATTATACGGCACAGGTATTTCGACCACCCTCTTGAAAGGAAAGTACTTTTCATTGAAGTATGTTCTATACATATATTTAAAGGGCATTGAAGAGAAGACTTTAGCCAAGTTTCAGTGAAATCGGTGCATTCGTTTAGGCGTTACACTTTATAACAACACTGATTTTAAGGCGCCATCTTTAAAAGAAAAGGCGGATAGGAATGTCGAGGTAAGGAAGATCATCATCGGGCGACCTCTAACTTTGATTCGAAACTTGAAAAAAATCGGTCCTGCAGTCTCAGAGAAAATGGCGGATAGTGGACGGACAAAATTGCTGTGTGGGGTGGCCGAATGAGCTAACGCGTGTGCACAGCACCGCGAGTTGTCCGGCAACCAGATAACGGAAGTTATGAGAAATTAAAGAAGTACTAGTTCGCGTCCCGGTGCCGGAGGGAAAATATTTGTATTCGATTTTCGGAAATACATTAATCACTTAACATTCGTAGTTTGACATCCGCGAATTTGGTTCATCAGAGAATACTGAAGTGTGGAAGAGTTCCACATTTGTAAATCGTGTATTTGATGAATCGTAATTTAAAAAAATATCGCTATTGTTAGAGCAAAAGGTCTTGTGTAAAAATTGAGTATTTTACACAAACCTTTTTTTCAACTTTGAACCAAATAGAATGAGCCGTTTTGATTAAGTGGAACATCTAAAAAAATACGTTTGCGCGGGCATAAGCGGTAGTGCTGGGTGTAATTTGATAAAATTGATATGGGACCATCTTCCCTAAAAAATTTCATGGAAATCTGATAAACGGTAGTAGGTGATATGCCCGTTACATCGATTTGACTACAAACAGACAGACGAAGACAGACACCGAACCAAATTTGATCCTTGATGTCTGAGCTCAAACAATTTGTTAACACCTCGCACGAATACAATGCTTCCCTACTCGGTAGTGAAGAAGCAATATTGTTGATTATATTAAATGATTTTTATGTGGTCATTAACTGTTGGCATCTGGAATTTTTATGTAAAGTAATGTTACTGGCGTACCAGGAAGCCTTGGTGATAGTCCTGAAAGTTTTTGATTGAAAATCTATAGTTTTCGTATGTGAGTCTTTTTGGCTGTCCCTTATACCTGTGAAATGTAGGTCCAAATGGGCTTCAGTAGGTAAGTATACGTGCTCAACTTCTGTCTAAGTTTTAATTTAGAATGTCTCCAATTGAGTGAGTATAATAGCCGTAGTCTTAAGTTTTTGTTTCGTTCTTGATATGTTGGCCCCATGCCATTCTTCTGTCGAATGTCAGTAGTCCCAGATATTTAACTTTGTCTGAGGAATTCGAGCATCGTCAAGGTAAATAGCAGGGTAAGTTTAAGGTCGTAGGGTAAAAGTGGTATGTAGTGATTTGTCCTGGTTGAGTCTAATTTTCCAGAGTTTGCACCAGTCGTGGAATTTGTTTAGGTACAGGTGGAATTTGTACAGGTTTAAACTTTTAAATGAGAAGTTTCATAGGAATCGAATAATATTTTTTTTGCATCTCAATATTTCCTATTTCGGGGTATGAAAAACGGAAAAAGCTGTGTATGAAACTTCTTATTTAAAAGTTTAAACCTATACAATATCACCTAAACAAATTCCACGACTGGTGCAAACTCTGGAAAAATTAGACTTGAAAATACGAAAAAAAATTAATGTTTTAATTATATTAAATAAATGACCAAATTATAGAATATAATAACCAATATAAAAATCGATTGTTTCTACATCTCCTTAGCCATCAAGCTTCCGACTATTTATAAGAATTAAACGTATAACCAACCTTTTCTACTGTTAATTAATTATATTTATATTTAAATAATAGTTATTATTTATATTGCTTACTATTTAAATATGTAAGCACACTGAGACATCTATTTACCGATAATTTCATCATATTATATGTATAATTACAGTAGTAATTTATTTTAGATTATACAACTTTGTATGCTAATTATTATTCGCCAGCCATTATGTGCCAGACAAATCGGTATTATTATGTAATTGTCTCGGTTCATGTTTGTTATTCTTAGGATACTACATCTCCTAGAATAAAATTTACTTCTTCTTATTCTTATAATAATAAAAGTATTTTTTTATTCCAAAAATAGATTTCAACGGCAGCCATTGAACCATCATTTGGATTGCTCTTCGGGGATCTCTTCAAGCAGCTTGGTGTCGGGACAAGTGGTGCATCTTTAGTAGTGTCAATACTAATGGCAATTTTATGCTTTACAGGTATTCTTAATATCACCCACAATTCAATCATAAACAGTTTATCAAAATCAATACAAAGTTCCTTAATTATTTTGAATTCAAAAGGGCGGATTCAATATCATAATAATTTATAATTTCACTATACCGGCCTTTATTTTATTTGTATATTGTATATATTTAATTCTTCAGTTACCTTTCCATTATTTGTATGAATATTCTTCTGTATGATGTGATTTCTTTGAGAGAAATTTAATGACTTTGCGTACTATTTCACGAACTCTGCTGTAATAGCTGCAGTGGACATTTTATTTCTTAATCTTGTTTCTTCAGCAGTTTCTCTACAGCTGTTTGAGAGTGCCTTATCTCTTATCAATCAGTAATCCATTTTTTAGTGCGATTATCAAGTACTTATGATATTAAGAACATTAATAACATTGCCTCTTATTTAAATTTCAATTAAAAAAAAAATCTACCCATATTTAAATATATATAACTTTTTTACTTTCACTCACCTACATATGTAATTTTAAGTATTGCGATCGTGAAAGTTTTTGAATCTCAGTTTTCAACGGAAATACACGTTTTGAGGTTCCCTGAGTCCAAATAACCAAGTCCCGAAAAATGGTCTGTGTGTATGTTAGCAGTCTAGCTCAAAAACGAAAAGTCAAAAGAAATTGATATTACTTATTTTAGATAGGCCTTAGATGTGACTAGATGTAAATATTCCATTTGACATATTAGACCAAAATATTCCGACAAATGGCTTTGCTAGGACTAATAGTTAAACGCCGACTGGAAAGATAATAAAGGTAATAAAGACAAAATAAAGCCTCTATCATGGAATTTTCTAAATTATTAAAAAAAATAAAATGTAAGAACAAAAAAATGACTTTAAGAAATAATCAAGTTAATATATATGCCAGGAAAAAAAGTGTAGTAGAATAGTAAATGCAATTTCTTTAAAGAGGAAGAAAGTATTAAGTATACGAAAAATAATGAACTGTATCTTTGTTATTAATTGTCCGATTTTTTTGGTTTTGTAAGTAATTCAGTAATCTTTCTAATTATCATGGGTACAATCAAGAAAAAAAAAGAATAATTTTTGAGTTATTCGCAAATAATTTATTTTTTCCTTCATAACTTTCGCCCTAGATATTTCGGGGGAATAGGACTATTTTTCGCATGTGAAGGAGAAGAATATCTTCAAAATGACTGGTCAATCATAGGATTTGATGAAGAATTGACGATGTTATGGCGTACCGACATTAAAAAATCACCTTTTAAAATTTATATATAGGATTTTATGGATGAGTTAATCATATGTTAATATCTTCAAATGGTATTGTGAATGTGCTATCTGAACACTATTGTAAATGTCCTTAATTGAAAGAGATTGTAATAATTCTCAATAAATAAGCAGTTACTGTAGCTAATTAACTCAAGATCCCACATTATATTTAAATAATTAGGAATATATCGTTGGTTTATTCCGGTAAATAATTATGCAATTTTAGAAAAAGTTAAATTAGTGATAAAATCGATCAATTTTCCCTGTGTGAAATCACAATATTATCCACTTGCAATTAGTGAAGCAGCTTAGGATCTATCAATGGTAGGCGATGGAAACTCCTAACGCCATTTAAGTCAATTTTACATTAAAAAAAAATAAGAGTTTAATAACGTACTAGTAGACTATAATATTCATATTTATATTAAATTTATTGACCTAAATAAGTTTTACTATTTAGTACATTCCTTACTTATTTATTCAATAGATTAAATATATAGATACTGGTTTTGTCTGGGTACCAATCACTAGCGGATCCAGAATTTAATTTTGGGGGGGCTTCAGCCCGAAAATTTTTTTTTTCATGTACATATAACGATAATTAATTTGAAAAAAAGAGAAAGAAATTAATTACCTATATGAAATGGTGTTTAAGTGGTTCTTGAAGTCCTATTAAATATAATTACACGAACAAGAATACTTTATGAGATAGTTTTTAATATTTTTTTTCTGTAAAACATGGTAATATTTTACCATTTTGGGGGAGGGGGAGGCTTCAGCCCGAAAGCCCCCCCGTAGATCCGCCTGTGGTACCAAGCCATATTGGAATTAAGGGCAACGATGGCGCTGCAACTGAAGCCCACTTGTTAGATTGAGTTGAAAGCTGTCATTTAACAAGTACTAAAATCTTTCAGCCAATAGGATAATGCATATGGGTTAAGTGGCAAAATCTGTGAGATCAGCTAATGTCAAATAAACGTAGACTGGTTAAACCGTAAATTAAGAAAATGGACATGCTCCAGACAGTCGAGAAGAGACTAAATACGCATATTGCATATTGGAAATAGTCGCCTCACCTACGGCTATCTAATGAAAAAATCGGGTGGGTGCACACAACTTTCACTTACCGCTCAACTGTGAATAGAAATTATTTTCTAGCCATGTTGGGCTATTATAAAATTTTTTAATTGCATTTCTAACTGAGCCAAAGCTAAAAGATTACAGATAACAAATTATAAATACTATTAAAATAACAAAAGTATTATTTATTATATCGCCAGTTGATTATTTATTGCACGATCCGTTGATTATGGATTGTACTACTATTATTTAGTTATTTTCCATTGCAAAGTTTACTAAAAAGAAAATTTATTAAATTATTCACTAATTTAATTTTCTAAATGGTTACATAATGATTTTTCGGAATAAACGGACGATAACTACCTAATTCTTTAAATATATCTGATCTAGGACTTATTAAATTACTGTAAATATATTTAAGGTTATAAACGTGTCCATGAAATATTTTTATATTTCACTTCTTCTTTCACACAAGTACAATGAAATAGTATCTCAAAAATTTCATTGCCTTGAATCCGTGGGTTTTAAATACTTTTTCAAACTGAAAAAAAAAATTCTAAGTTTACATTTAGTAAGAAAATTTCATTCAATTTCCTTGAAAACACCTAATTTAGGTTAAATAATGTTAGTTTTCAGAAATTGTTATTTATATTTTTGTTCGTCGCTCTCCGTTACCTTATACAACTTTCTATAATATATATATATTGTTTTTTCTAAAATTCTCCGCTTTCCAACTAATATATTATACATATACCTTCTGATTCGTATTTCCGGAGATTCATTTTCGACCTGGATAAGCATTTTTATTTTTTTTTCTTCTTTAATAAATTATCAAATTCTTTCAAAAGTTATACTTAAAATTTGTTCGTAACTTTTAATGATGAGAGATGGTTAATTATTTGAACCATGTTAAAGGTACTTTTGAGGAAAACGTATATGAACATTGGGCGTTTAAGCAGTGTAAAGTGACATCAACCGGGATAAGACCTAAATGATATTAAAAAGCACTTTATTATGCAATACACCAAGTTTAATCAAAATTAGACAAATTTGTGGTGAAAATTGTAAACATTTGTTTCAGCGTTGATATAAGATGGCACTTCCGGTTAGCCAATTTTAAGGAAAAAGTTGCTAGGACATCTAAGGTATATACATATCTTAAATATGTAATATCAGTTTCTTACGACTTTTTGTTTTCGAGCTAGAGTGTTCACAGACACATAGACCATTTTTCGGGACTTGGTTATTTTGACTCAGGGTACCTCAAAATGTGTATTTCCGTTGAAAATTCAGACTTCAAAATTTTCACGATCGAAAGTAAAATCAGCCAACTCCATGCTGTCAACAGCCGAAGTGAAGCACATATTCGAAGATTGTTCTAAATATAGTAGAAAAACTTAGGCATACCTAGATCTCTCGCCAATGCTCTAAGTGAGGACTGCATTTACTTAAACAAAGTAATCAAATTTTTAAAAGAGATGGGACTTCACAATGAGATATAAAACTTTAAAAGTTGATAGAAAATCCAAGAAAATGGACAATGATAACCTCAAAAGTTTTTCGCCCTGTAAACCATAATAAAAATATATAGATGTATTTTTATCTCTATTTTTAATCTCTTTTTGTATATAAAGCTGAGAGTCTGGAGATATGTGGTTCAAAAACATAGACAGAGTTACGAGGTTTTTATTGCGTCAATAAATTTACAATCCGTGAAACTTGGTAGCGCATGTCCTATTCTTAACCAATGGTTGTACAAGTAGGTTATCTGGCCAGGATTACGTTTAATCTCCAGATTTTTCTCAGAAATAAACCTGACACAACAGGCTGATTATTTGCCAATATTTAACTATCCTTAATAGTTATCTGTCACAGGCGGACTCGAACCGAACCATAGGCGTTCGTTACCTATTATGAAAATATTATGTGATAATAAATGTATTATTGTGATAAAACTAATTAAATTTACCTTTCAGGGCTCATTATTGGACCTCTTATAAAGAAATTTACCTACAGAAAAGTAGCTATTGTAGGAGGGCTTATAAGTGCTACTGCCATTCTTCTGACTGTTCCAGTAAACAGTATGCTTCACCTTATAATTACCTTTGGAGTACTGGGAGGTATGTATAATCGAAACTTCTCTTAATATTTAGTGATTAAAGTAGTAATTTGAGATCAATGTGTTATTTGCTCAAAACAATGTAGATAGACGCCGATTGATGAATATTATTGGGGGAGGTGGAGGAATGAGGGGAAAGGTGAGCTGTGGTGCGGATCACGACAAGTCTGTCTCTGACTAAACTAGGACACCACTTTTTTTTTTTAAATTTATTTATTTAGAAATATAATAATCTGTGAAGTCGAGAATAATTATAGTGATAAAATAATAAAATTAACAAAAATAAAATAATAATCAATAGCTGTATACAATATAAAATAAAGTAACTTAAAGATAACTAAATAAAAAACGTAAAAATTCAGTCATACCTATATACAATATATACAATCAGGCAGGAAACCCAAAGCCAGGCTTGTCCCTCCAACTATAGAAGGAAAAGCAGGACTCAAGACTTAGCAAGTCTTCCAGAAAATCTTCAAGAAAGGACTGCGGCAGATCCATCTAAATGGTAAAGGATAATACGGGAGGACACCATTGAGCAGTGGAATCGACGGTGGGCAACTACTTGGCTCTACCTTGAGGAAATACTTTCCTGCCGTCTATTCAAGGTTGGAAGCGAAATGGGTCCTCTCTGATTATTGGGTGTCTCAATTCCTGATAGGGCATGGGTGCTTTCGCGCAAAGCTTCATGGCTTTGGAAAATAAATTAACCCACTACTGTTGTGGTGTTTCGGAAACTAAAGGTCCAAATTACTGAGAGAAAACGGACTTTAAATCATCACGGAAGACGATTTCTCTCAGCTTGTAAGTAGGCATAACTACCCATACTACGAAGCATTCGTGTACGGGTGGAAAGGAGTAGTCGAGAATGATCACTTCAACCTCCGCTAACGAAGACTGAAGAACCAGAAGATATGTGATAAAAGTATCAACTACTTATACTTAAAATCTGTAGTAAAAAAATATACCCAAACCATTTTGCGGGACTTGTGATATTTGGACCCAAGACACCTTAAAACGTGTATTTGGTTGAAAATTCAGGTTCGAAAATGTTCAAGATTGCAATACTGTCCGTCCCTTACTGTATATTTCATTCATAAGTTACTGAAAGTAAAAATGCATACTTTTTTAGTTATTCGCAAACAAAGTTTCTTTTCCTTCATAATTTTTATTCCGAAAATTTCGGGGAGTGTGACCATTTTTCCCTACTGACGGGATAGATCTTCGAAATGAGGGTTCAATCGTTGGATTTGGTGAAGATAAACATACTTAAAAACGCCTTTGAGAAATAATAAATAAAGATAATTCTATATCTTTATTTTCTATTAATGAGTAAACAGTTTATAAAGTAAGTTATATGTAATTTTAATTATCATTAAGAAAAAATTACCCTTTCACAATCATTAATCTTGAGACAGAATTTTGAATAGGCCAAAGGAATGATAATTAGGTGACTTATAATGAAATAAAATAATGATCTTTAGCGATTTTTTTGGTGAAACATTTATAAAATAATATTCTAGGGGAGATATTAAAAAATAAACATTGATCTGTTTATGTGATTACCCTAAAAATGTGTACATGTTTAGGGTAATCACTCAGACATTTCATCTGATATATTGTCATAGGCGCCGTCTACTGGGGGCTCACCAAGCCCCGTCAATGCTCGCGTTATGAGGGCTCAGCTCCCTCAACAATTTGCTGTGTTATCAACTTCATGAACATATCGGTCGTGTACATTAAGATTCGTATGATACGCATCTTATGATACGTTGAATTATTTAATTGTCTTATTATTTGGGCCTTGTAATTTGTTCAGCGACCTATATTCTTTGCGAATTATTCACAGGGACCAATTATTAATATATTAAAAAACGATGCTTTCTTATTGTTTCAGGTATTGGATTCGGCCTGGTTATTTCTTGCTCCATGGTAGGTATCAATTTATACTTCTCAAAAAGAAAAGGACAAGCGATTGGTATTTCAATGACCGGTTCTACTATGGGATTCATTTTGATGCCTCAGATAGTAAGGTAAAAAGATACAATAGCAATTTAATAGAACCATCGATATAAAAAAGAACCTTCTTTTTAAAATCGATGAGTGGAACCTTAATATTAATATTTATATAATCGTCGTACATATTGTAAATTAGAAAGTAATACTAAAAAAATATTTCAAATTAAATATCAAACTTATTATAAGTGAGTTCTTTAATTTCTTTAGATTTTTTCTGGAAGAATATGATTTTCGTTCTGCAATTCTCATAATAGGAGCTATATCTCTTCATGCTGTAATTGGAGCCTCCTTATTCCAACCAGTTCGTTGGCACTATAAAGTCGCAAGCATAGTAAGTTTTCATTTACTATCACAATTTTAAACTTATTCCGAAAATGGTCCCTACTCTTTACAATATTATAAGTTTAAAAAGTCCAGTTTCTATAAATATCATTAATTGAATGCAAGGGTGTCCAGAAGGGGATTTCATGGCGCAAGTTACGCCAACAAAATTTTTAAGGGGGCATATTTTGACGGGTTTTTTTATGGCGTTAATATAAAACTAATATGGCGTTGATTCGGGTGTACAATAGGCTTTCTTGGCCAAAAAAAAAAAAAAAAAAAAAATCGTTGATGGCATATAATATGAACTTTTTCATTTTAAATGAAATTATAATTTTAAGAATCATTTTTTTTATTTATTTGTAATTGGTACAGTTTTAAAAAATGTAAAAAATGTTTTTTGTTTTTTTTACTAGGAAGTACAAGAAAAAGAAGCTCATACCCTATTGCCATCCAATAAAATTGAGGAAAAGGATGACTCTGAAGGTTCGTAGATAAACAAGAACACAAGCGTACCTTTCAAAGTTTATATTTAATCAAGAATGCATCCTTTGTTGGACAGACTTATCTCAATTTTCTTGTTGGCTGCACATATCTTAAATGATGAAACGAGACCAGAATCACTGGAGAAATGAGCCTTTCAGTTGACAGAATGATTAACTCCTATTTCAACATTTTCCACTAGTATTTTTCGTTGAAAATATCTTACTTTTTTAAAATAATACCAAAAGTATTGGTAGTAATTGAAATTTTATTGTACATATTTTTGACATACTTTTAAAAAAAGGTTAAGAATTTTCTAATGAAGTAACGAAAATATGATTGATACTAACTTAATAAAAAAATAATATGAAAATTGGAGTTAGTTATTAAGTCAACATTATTTTTTCAAAATAATAATTACGGGAGGATGGGCTGAAACATATTTTTTTAAAGTTGACAATAAAATTTGATCCGTTGACAAATTTTATTAACTATGCAAAGTTGTGTCCACTTCCACGACTTTCCCGGTATTTTGTAAATTAACCCAGCGTCACTTTTTAATAGTAACCTGCAATTTTATTTCATATTACCTATATTTTTCAGATGAAGTAACAAGTATTATTAGCAGTCCAAATATTGAGGAAAGAAAGAAATTATCAAATATCCCATCACAAGCGTTTTCACCTAAGGAATCTGTCGTGACCAATATTTCAGTTGATGCAGAAAATACACTTCATTTACAAGTATGTACATATTTAATGTTACAATCGATAGATTCGTTATAAATCACAGTGAAAGTGATACTCAAATTATTCTAGTTCACTCATACTCTCTAATTAGTGTTTAATTGAGTTTTATATTTCCAGGAAATTAATGTGAACGAATCTGAGAAAGAGTTCGAAAGAATAACAGACCATTCAGATGTGAAAGAATCAAACATGAAAAACAAGCCAAAAAGATCAGTAAAAAGTCGTTTGTCTAGATTTTCTAAATTTATGGATCTTGATCTATTAAGAGACGGTGTACGTTTTCTATTATTGATTAAAATTTATATTAAAATTTATATTAAAATTTGTACTTGAAAATATATCTTTATAGTCTTGCTAATTGTTCTTAAATGTATTTTATTTTGTTTTAAAGGTATACTTGAATATCCTCTTCGGACTGTCAATGTCAGAGTTGGTTGAAATGAATTTCAAATTCATTTTACCTTTCTACCTATCGAATCTGGGCTTCACATATTCTGAAATTGCATATGCATTGTCATCAATGGCTGTGTCAGACATTTTCGCTCGATTAGTTGTACCACCAATCATGGATAGGACATCATACACTAGGCGGATCACTTTTTTATTTGGCTCTCTTTGTGTAGTCTTTGGCCGGTCTTGTAAGTATTTTGAAGTATTCTAAAATTCATACTAAAATTTTACCCACATGTATTCTATCAAGTTATGATCTGGTGTTTTTATAACTTTGGGGCAGTTAAAAGACTTATTAGATTACCCCTCTTATCTGAAACATTATTGATAACCTGGCATCAGCCAAGATGGCTGTAAGAGTAATGCTTCAGAAATAGTATCAAGTGTTTTTTTAGCACAAATTTTCCGAAATATCTTTCAAGTTTATTCCCAAAATATTTATGTAAACATATCTATTCACGGTAATATGTGAATATTTCCACTATAAAGTGAAGATTTCCTATACCAGTAGCCGCAATACATCCCCATACCAAGAAACAAAACATAAGAAAATAACCAAAAAGATAACATAACATAAGAAAATAATACTTTACTAGGATGTTTATTGATTACAATAAACTATTATTTTTTTTAATATAAATTGAACTATTTATTTATTCAATAATTTCGATTAATATTCAGATGTTTCATTTTGACTGGGAGCCATTAGCGGATCCAGGATTTAATTTTGGGGGAGGGCTTCAGCCCGGAATATTTTTTTTTTTAACGATAATTAATTTTAAATGGTGTTAATGTGGTTCTTGAAGTCCTATTAAATGTAATTACTCGAACAAGAATACTTTAAGAGATAGTTTTTAATATTTTTTTCTGTAAAACATAGTTAAAATTTACCATTTTGGGTAGGCTTCAGTCCGAAAGCCCTCCCCGTAGATCCGCCTGTGCTGTGAGCCACTATATATGCGTATATTTATGCTAAAGGTTTCTTCAAACTAACTTCTCTTTTAACTTCTTCGTCCATGAGTCTTCTTTTCGTCTTTTTATTCCCCGTCATTCTAATTACTACTTTGTCTTTATATTGCATACAATACTTTCTGCAATCAGACTCCTGTTTTGTTTAATGTTTAAACAAGGTGGCTGAATGTCCGAAATATTTTCAATAAAACGCCGTTCTTTATTCGAACGATTTGGATTATTTTCTCCGACAAGTTTTCAGATTTGAATATATGCATTTCAAATGGACTCTTCAGCAAAAATTTGAAAGATAATTAAATTCTTTACAAAATAAACAATGTTGTCTAATTCCGACCGGTGTTAGTAAATTAAATCGCATTGAACTTTGCACCCATATTTTTTTTAAATTTTCTGCAAAGGCTCTCCGAATAACTTTTCTTTTTTTTTTATTTTTTTTTTTTATCTATTTATTGAATAATAATACAATCAGCCACTGCTAGAGGGCTATAAGTATTAGGGCTAAGAGTTTTCATTCAAACAATATATACAAATAATAGAGAAATAAATATAAATATATAAAGTAAATAAATAATACTGATGAAGACAGTAAATAAAAGAAAAAAAAGGTAAACAATAACATAAAATAGAAACTTCTAAACAAAATCATACCAATAACTTTTCTAGAAAAATCAAAATCTTCTGAACATCTTAGATACTTATTTGAAATGTTAGTAATAAATCAAATAAACCCTTCTCCAAAGATGAAAAAAACTCTTAATCGTTCCAATACTAGGTAAGCCAAACAATGTTTGTAATAAAATTGGCATCCTATGTGATAAAAAGAAAAGTAGTGCGAATGGGAATGATTTATTTTCAAATTAATTCGAAGCTATAGAAAGTAATAATAAGCAGTTTTCTTTATGATAGAAATATCATATTTGTTTTATTATTTGCTACAAAGTAAAGTTTTGCAGTTTGTTTTTGTTTGTTATATTTTTAAAGTATTTAAAATTAACTAGTTCACATACAAGTAGTTTAGGATTAAGAATTTTATATATATATTTTTTTTTTTTTTTTTTTTTTTTTTTTTTTTTTTTTTTTTTTATAGAGAGTGCTACCACTGGGTAGTAACTCTTCAAGCCTGTACATGCCATTATTTATATATGCGCATATTTACTTGTTGTATTTGTATACAGTTGTAAATTCCATTAAATAAAATAAATAAGTATTTTTTTTAGGTATAACTTTACTGTCCTCAATTGGATCAATTATAACAACATTAGTGATTGTTGGTTTCTTTCGTGGAATATATCGTACATCATATCCTCTTGTTTTGACGGAATATTCAACAGGGGGTAACTTTCCTTCAGTCCTTGGTTTGTCTATGGTTTCTAAAGGGATTTCAGTTTTAATATTAGGACCAGGGTTTGGTAAGTATGAAAACCGTGTTTTATTTCTCTTTATTTTATTACTCATAATTTCATATTCGTGGAACTAGCCATGAAGTATTACAGGAACACAGTGTGACAGACATGAGAAAGAGAATTATCCTACGGAATCCTCTTAGGAATTGATAACACATTTCGTCCTCCAAAGAGATCGCTCCTTCAGCTCTTTTGAGCACTCTTATGGGCACTTTTTGAAACTTGTTACAAACCTCTCATAACTGGCTCATAGTAGAAGATATTATTAGTGTTGAGAAAACCTCATAATGTGAATACATCCAATAGTTGTCCACAGTCACGTCCGAAACAGTTTACGTGCCCTGGTCGGTTACCAAGTTTTAAACAATGCCTTTGATGAGCATTGGATGATATAAAAAGATTTGTTGTTTACTACCGTTAGTAATATAAGTTTTTGTAAAGAGGATTTGATGTAGTTCACAATTTGTATGTTTTATTTCTATTATTATATTAAGTCTGCAGGTCATTATGCAGTGGTTGAAACTTCAGTACCGTTGTGGATTGAATATTTGGGAGCGATGAAGTTTGGAATTTATGATTTAACGCAAACGGTGGATATAGGATGATAATGTAAGGTATTCATAAAACGACCTCACTTTATTTTTGTAATAACGAGATAGCGTCAGATGCCTATCTAGGGTGATACCAAAGTTCACTTTACTGCCTGCACAAACTTTAGGAAAGTGGCGCTTATTCTTTTTTAAAGAGACAATGATTCTTACAATTTATTTTAATATTTAGACCATTCTGTTTCAAAACAATATCCTTACAGCCATTTTTGTCGTAAAGTTCTCGTTCCGTTTAGTGAGCTACTGAAGCATTACAGAAAAGTAGCTTTCTCATACTCTGCACAGACAGATTCAAGCATGTACAAAGAACACAGTATTGGTGATAATACAGAGCCCAAATGCAAATGCGGCTACTCGTACATTACAAGTAGCTGACTGCTGCAGAAATGGCCGTAAAACAGGTTTCAGCTACTGTGCTGTCTGAGTCGAACGAGGTATGGAATACTCAGTCAAACGCCACCATGCAGTCTATTGAGTCGTTTTTTACTTACTTCCGCCTGTTGCATTGTCAGATAGTGATCCGGACAGAAGCGAAAAAGGGAATTCATCTAAAAGGGAACTCCAGAGACGTTATGGCTATCTCTGAGCAATAGATCTTGAAATAATTAAAACATTTTTCTCAAAAACCATGTTTTTCAGTAGGAAAATAGGTAATTTGTCAGTAGTCAGCTGGGTCGGATGGGTTTTTTCAAATGTTTTCAATGGCGGAAAAGTAATACATCATTTACTGCAGTAATGTAACAAAATATGAGGCAGGAATTGTAGAGGTTCATAGGTTGAGTGATACATCTTATAAGTAGTTGTTTTAACAATACACTTTGTACCCTGTCGCGGCTTGTGGTTTTATCCTCGCTCTCATGATGAAGCTGTTTCAGTGAAACGTGCTTACAATTGTGACCAATATCCTCCAATTATATATCGATCGTCTATTTATTATTGCGTTGAAACGATTTGCACATGTTGTAGTCAGGAGCCTTTCGGTGTTAAGAAGCATTGGAGAAAATCTCTTCCTCAAAGGCTTCAGCTTAGTTTGGATTGAGCAACGCTTATTCTTTCTTCATGAGTGTCAAGCCACAGAATTCTCTATTTGTGTTACCTGCATTATCTTTTATTGGAGTTCTTTCCTAAATTTATCTTCCATGCATTAATTTATACCTCAATGCCTAGGTGTTATTGTTTAATCACTTAATATCACAAATTAATGTTTTAAATATGAGATTTCTCCATATTTGCATCTAATACTTCTACGGCTAGTTATTGTTCCACGATTATTTACTTCGCTATTCACTTTTCATTTCAGTTTTGTTAGAAGACTGGTAGTTTACTATTATTAGTTTTATGTATACTTTGTTATTAGTTAATTCTGGCATTAGTTTATTTTATTTAAATTGCGTAATAATAAATTATATTAATTCAGTACACCAAGTTTAAACAAAATGAATAAACTATCGAAAATTACATATTAATAGTAATGTTTTTTTTTTCCACAGGATATTTAAGAGACGTTAGTGGTAGCTATTCTTTGTTCATCCATTCACAAACTCTACTAATGATCTTGGTAGCAATTTCTTGGATTTTAGAAAGAATTATCTTGAAGTCTAGAGATAATAAACAGGATATCCTAGATGCTTAATAAAAATGAATTTTAGATTAAATTTCAGCTGAAGAACCATGTTTCCAAATATCTTATTCACCACTTATAGCATGTAAAAATAAGTATCATTTATATAAAGTATGAAAGCTGGGTCTTTGAATGGAATGTTTTGTAAGGAGTCAGGGTGGAAAGGAATTTTAAATAAATATGTGAACTGCAGTTTGTAAAAACAATATGGCTGTCTCCAGTTAAAAAAGTGTTGAATATTTGGTATTTACATTATTGTTAAATCCAATTGGAATTTTCTAATAGATCAAGAACACTAAGAAATACGATTGTAAACATGATTTAAACTATAATAAATCAAATAAGTTTCTGAGGTGTAACTGATTTTTTGCTTATTTTTGAATGATTAATATTGTTATACTTCTCATTTTTATAATGGTTCTGAATTTTTAATTTGTAATTAACAATTATTCTTTATTTTATTTAGTATATAATAAAAAATTAATGAACACCTATCATTGGGCATATTGCCTGTAGGAGAATTATGTATTTAAATAAATATTTATTTAGTCACAAGCAAACAATCATGAAAATTTAACTAATTAATAAATAAGTTCCGACTAATATGAAACAATTTTTTTTTTCAATCACTTGAAAAAAGACTGGCGAATAAAATTTTTGGTGATTAATAATTAGAAGTATTCATAGGCAACGGCAGGGGGGAGATGCAAGTTACTTTTTTTCCTTCCCAATATTTTATGAAAAGGAAGAGAATTCCATTGACTCAATATTTCAGTCAACTACTGAAAACGTAACTCACTGAAAAAAGTCAGTAAACCATGCAAGTAATATTGATATTATGTTAGAGGTAATAAACTTACTAATTGGCTACTTTATGTAAGTCGTTCTCACCTTGGCCTCTTATGTTTTTTAACCGCCTGACCCAAGTTCAGTAAAACTACCAGGTTCGCTCACTCAGAGGGAAAATGGCGGCGAGGAATTGAGCTGTGACGTAGCCAAAAGACTAAGTTTACCCCTCCGGCCTTAGTTTCTGGACATTTTAAGATTATTATTTACTTTTCTACATTAAATCAATACTGTATTGCCAAATAACTTATTAGTTTATTAATTTTAATAAATTTGAAAGGTGAGAGAAAGGTTGATTTGATATTTTATTCTAGGTTGTTTGTCGTATTTATTGATTTACCTGCTTAAAATTATCTTCAATTAAACGTCAAGCACATAGAAAAATATTCTTTTCAATAAATTACCCCAGTAAAACTAAAAAAAAGACACATTAATTTTCAAATAAACCTCCAATGATAGGCTTGAAAGAACAATAGGAAGGTTAGATAGTCTAGTGGCTACGTCACAATGCAAGTTCCCCCACCACGCATTTCTGAGTGAACGAACCTGGTAGTTTTACTGACCTTGCGCCAGACCTTATTGGTTACGTCATTCGTAAACGACTTAATTGAATAATTAAATGACTTTCAGAAGCAATTAAAACTCAAGTCGAAGCAATCGGCAATAGCCTTATTGTAATTGTAAAGTAAACACTCGTGAGTCATTTCTGATGACTAATATTAAACAATGAAACATAAATTTAGTAGGGGGACTAATAATAACTTTTTATCAATTCGCTTCCTATTGTTTTAAAGAATTCTATTATTTATTTATGATATTTACGACTGTTTTAGAAATAAAAATACATTCAGTAAATGTGAACACAGAAATGTCTTAATGAAAACAATAATATTTTCCAATAACAACTTTATCCCATCTGTTTTTATTTCCTTTATTTACTTAATAAACACACACACATGAAATGTTCTCTGTTATCGCTACTATATATAGCATAACTTATCTTTAAAAATACCGATTGTTCATCAGCAAGGCTCAGTTTTTATGCAGTTATAAATATTGTTAGCATGCAGTTAAACAACTGCTGATCAAACAACAGTTCACTGTGCGTTGTAGAGATGGACAGGTGATTCGAGAATCGAATCGAAGATTCGAATCCTCTGGAAGAATCGTACTTCCAAGCAATTTTCACGAAAGCATCACGATTCACTCGGAATAGGTCGATTCAATAGGTATTATTAAAAATAAAAGTACAAAAGATAATAAACAACTCTATACATATATGAATAAATCAAACAGGGAGAAAAAAATAAAATAAACAAAATTGAAATGTTAAATTACATGATAATAGGTAATTAAAAATAAAAATAAAAGATATAAAAACTGTACATATATATAAATAAAACAAACAGAGAGAAAAATAAACAAAATAGTAATATAGAAAGCATGGGCTATAAATATCTGAAGTGTGAAATGTTAAATTAACTACTTATATAATCATAGGTAATTAAAAATAAAAGTATAAGAGAGAGAAAAAGTGTACACATTTATAGATATAACAAACAGAAAAAAATTTATAAATAAACTAAATATTATATGTAAAGCTATGTAAATATTATGTAAAGCAAGCAAGCGTAGGTTATAAATGTCTGAAGTACCGAATGCTAGTGAAAAAGTAGATGCGGAAAATAAACAAAACAACTTCAGAACATTAAAGAACAAAACAAATTCAGAAGATTCATGCCTTCTTATTTATGTATTTGGGACTTTTAATTTCAATAAGTTAACAAAAAAAAGTTTTTGCCTGAATAACCATAAGGCTTGAAAATGTTCGTTACAGTGTTTTTTTTTTCAATATAAAGTTCTTTTTTAATTTAAAGAAAAACAGAATCAAACAAGGAATCGTTCATAAGAATCTATTAAGTTCAAAGAATCAAATTTCGCATCTATGATGCGGTGACCTCAACGCCTAAATCTTTTTACTATTCTTCGATTGATCAAATGACGCATATATTTCAGAGAAATGTATAACATGGTAAAAGTTTTTATTTACATCAACATATAAACTATATTGTATTTTTAAGTAATTTAATATTGATCTTTTAAGCAGTACATCTGTTGTATAGAATTAGTAAATTACTAGTTGCCCGGTCTGCTTAGTAGTTCTCAGCATTAATATCCATCTGAAACTTAGTGAATAACTCTAAGAAATTTAATGAGGTACTTAAAACGCATGAAACCCATGATTCGCGCTTTCCACTTTAATCGTAAGATAATTTGATCATAAAATCGATAAAAAAGCTTATCTACAAAAATACTGGGCCGTTTGTATTTGCCATCTGGAAAGAAAACGGGTATTAATGAGTTTTAAGTATCTAATTAAATAGGCATAGTTTCCTGATCTCCATATTGAAAATGTCACATTTCCGAGAAGCTTTGTAAATGAAACAAAAATTGAATACGAACATAATGTGTGAAATATCTGCCTTGAAGGAAATGGCTGTAATTGAATAAATAGACACTTGTAAAAGAAGATTTTGTTGCTGCCTGAGTGCAGGCTAGAGGTATGGCGACCCCATCCACCAATGGTCGTTCCGCAGATAGCCTTTATAGTCTGTGGGCCAGACCCCCTAACCGTGCACCCCTCCCCCCACATCCCTATAAATTGCATATCGTTGTGTTCCTTGTAACTATTTATTAAAAAAAAGCCAATGTTCCCACAAAAAAAGTGAACGCACTGCTCCAAAATGGCGTCCAAACATGGCGGATTGACGACTTTGACTTTAGTTAGTTTTGTGGTCACTGAGAAATAGCATTTGGCTTAATTTCCTCATAGTTGGTCTTTTATTAAAGCTGAATAGTCATAGAATAATAAACCATGAAGAAATATTAAAAAATAATTGGCTTAGGCTATGAAAAACACCAATAAAGTCAATTTTTTTAACAAAACATTATATTGATTGTATTAACGAACAAATATTAATGCAATAATTTAATTGTAAAAAAAAAAAATTAAATTTTTTTTTTTAATTTATTATTATTTTTTATTAATTTAACCTTCTTTATTCTAGACGTAGGTCGTTTAAGAAGACCTTAATTGTAAAAATGATATAATTATAATAATAAAACTTAATTAAAAAACTTTGCTAAATATCTTTTTTTTTTTTATTTAACGTTTATTAAACTGCAATTGACCCCCTTTTAACAGCATCTTTAAATATTCTCTTCATCTGTCAACTATACATTCGTTTAGCCATATAATGGATACTGGTACTTTTTATCTTTTCCGAGGTTTTGGCACTTCCTTTCTCGTTCGCTTAATTTATTTTTCCAGTTTTTGGGTTCAATTTCGCGTTTTTCCTCATTTCAAGACCAAATCCAAACAATCAGTTCTGCTTTATAGAATAATTTATAGCGTCACCGTTTCTATCTTTCTTTGTGCAGAGAGAATAATTCATTCAATAATAAAATTTCCTATTTATTTATGATATAGTCCAACTTCTGCACAAAATAAAGGAAATAAAAATTAATTTTTTAATTAGTGATATATGAGTTTTACTATACAACCCAGCAGCTATTCATTATATATAGTTCAGATTAGGTATATATTATTTTAGTTTATAAAACAGGTATTAATACGACTCATTTCCTGGGAAGTATATAAAAATTTTAATTACCTTTAAGAATCAGTAAATATACAAAACACAGTGTTAAATTGCAAACGTTAAATAAAAAAAAAATCAAGATATTTAGCAAAGTTTTTTAATTAAGTTTTATTATTATAATTATATCATTTTTACAATTAAGGTCTTCTTAAACGACCTACGTCTAGAATAAAGAAGGTTAAATTAAAAAAAAAATAATAGTAAATTTAAAAAAAAAATTTAATTTTTTTTTTACAATTAAATTATTGCATTAATATTTGTTCGTTAATACAATCAATATAATGTACCAAAAATGTTATTATATCACTTTAACTAAGCCATTTATGTGTACTGAATGGTGTGGTAGAGGCCTGTAAGCACCCACGCCAGTACCGCTTTTCTGCCGCATAAGTGCATTTTCTACGGAACTGCTTAAAAGTTTTTTAAAAATAATCAGCGTTTTGGAAAGAGAAATATATTCTCCAGATGGTTTATTTCAGCACGTTTTGCGTTATTGTAGGCCGTTTAATTACAAATGACGCTTGATTTTTAACTTGAAAATTTTTTTGTTAAAAAAATTGACTTTATTGGTGTTTTTCATAGCCTAAGCCAATTATTTTTTAATATTTCTTCATGGTTTATTATTCTATGACTATTCAGCTTTAATAAAAGACCAACTATGAGGAAATTTAAGCCAAATGCTAATTCTCAGTGACAACAAAACTAACTAAAGTCAAAGTTGTCAATCCGCCATGTTTGGACGCCATTTTGGGGCAGTGCGTTCACTTTTTTTGTGGGAACATTGGCTTTTTTTTAATAAATAGTTACAAGGAACAGAACGATATGCAATTTATAGGAATGTGGGGGGAGGGGTGCACGGTAAGAGGGTCTGGCCCACCGTGTATTAGTCCTCGTGGTTGGGGGAACAATAGAGTAGCATATATACATCTTGGTACACTGTTGAAAGTAATTTTACACCTGCCGACCAACATGAAGTCGGCATTAAATTGAATTCGCCCCCTATATTTTTAGAAAAAGACATCAAGTGGCTTTTCCTTTTTGTTCCTTAAAGAGCCCCAGTCCAGTAGACCCAACTCCGTTGTGGAGTTTAAATTTATGCCTCACCTAAACATCACTGAGCCTCCTCCAAAAGCCACCCTTGGAGAAAAATTACAAGGATCGTACCTCTCTCCCAATCTCCTCCACAATCTTAAGTGTCCATCTGGAGGGAATCTCGAAGAGCGTGAATTTGTAAATCTGTCGTCATCCCGTGAATTGACCTTGGACGACCTGGATCCCATCTACTGATATGCCCTTCTTTCTCGCTCTGGAAATTACGGATTGTGACCGATGCAGCCTATGTGCAATTTACTTTCGTGAAAAACCTTCTTCCATTAATAAGAATACACAGAATTAATAAGAAGGAATTAAAATGGATCAGCTCCTTTTCGATTAATTCCCTTCGGTTTGCCATCAAAATGTCATAAATTACCACACAAGCAAAAACTGTTTCCTAAAAAATGGTTTAAAGAGGTCAACGCGAGTATGAATTAAGAATTAATGTAGAAATGTGAGCAAGAGTCCGAAAAATCTCCTTAAGTTAACTTTTTAATTTCAAAGAGTAATTATTGTTTAGCGTTTGTGGACACAATTGATAAAGAATAACACTAATTCTATTCTGGTACTAGAGAAATATTTATTATTTTCATTATCAAAATTTATTTCAAAATGTTTAGGTTACACTTTAATTTTGTCCAGCAATGTATTTAGATTTCCTGTAGCTGTTTTCTTAGTGATGGGCGTGAGATAGAGAATATTTCCGCGTTAGGAAGCCGAAGTCTTTTGAACCAATTAAACATATGATCAGTAATAACTTACCTAATGACAATGTATTGATGAAGATATATGTATCTTCTATGGAGATCATCCCTACATTCACTAGAAACGGGTACTGAGCTTGGTAAGTTCATTGCTAGCAGCATTCAAGCTAGGACTGAACGATACGGCAGCTATCCCTCCGATCTCTAGTACAAAGGGCAGGACTGATTGTGGCAACGAAAGCTAGGATACTTGTGAGGGGGCCTATATTGGAGGATTGGAGCTGCGAACTATCACCGGTGGCAACACTGAGTTGAAGATACCGTAGGAATGTTCGAATAATGGTGAAGGTTAGCACTAATGAATGTCTCCCATGTTAGCACTACAATTTGTTATATAGAAGCCAACAGAAGAATACACCTTTATTAGGATTAATACCCACAAGCAGTGGGGATATCTTGCTAGGACGTCAAAGAATACCTTCGATACCTTCTGGAGGTTGACGTCTGGTTGGGAGTTGGACTATTTATTTATTATTTTATCATATTTATTTCTCGAGCTAACTATTAAGTATCACTATATAGAAATATATCTACCTAGCATGTTGTTATTGTTATTTTAATTATTTATATGCACATTATTTTGATAGATTGTTTTATTAGTGTTTTATTCTATTATATTTATTGTTTTGTAATGTTATTATATTTATTGTAGTTAGTAGTCTAGTAGATTATATTTATTAACTTTTTATGTAATTTAGCTTATAGATGTAGATTCATGCATGTTGAACAACATAATATACTCGCAGAAGCTAAATTGTAATTATTCATTATTTTTCCTGGCACCCGTCTTACAATACTGCTGATGAAAAATTCAATTTCCCACATTATAGCTTTTATGTCCAAATAGGAGATTAGAGCGATGTTAGTTTGATAAATAATTTTCTTACTAATTTGAACATTTTTATCAACAGCCACCATTTTTACATCAAAACGTTCACTTATTTTTTGATGATTATAAGAATCATCATTGAGGTCATTTCTAAGTATACCAGAAATCATTTGTTTTAAAACACATGGTTTGTTTTATAGTTTTTTGTAAAGTAATTCATTAGTAATTAGAAATGTATGTAAGTTTTAGTTTATCAAAACCTTTAAATCAATTCTTTGGAAATTCACAACAAACATACTGTAATTCAATTGATTATAAAGATCTTTTGATTTTGGGAATTCAAGCAGTGATGAAACATTCTTGGCACCTTTCGTGAGCTTTCCAAACAAATATGAGAGAAAGATACGTCGTCAGTGTCCTGTAACTCAAGTTTTTTCATATACCGGTTGTATCTTCCACCAAACTTCTCCTGATATTAGTTCTATGGTTAACAAAATCTCGACCATTCTAATAAATATATGATGTTTATAATTTAAAACACTACTCCCAAATTTGTGTGGGATTGAAATTAGCAGTCACGGAAAATTAAGTAAAATTACCCAATTTTTAATAGGCAATGTTAGAAATAGAACAAAATGAAAAGTATAACTAACCCAGCTGACAGATTAGATTTCATTAACCTTTGTAGTGTTTGTTAGCGATAAACCTTATAGGATTTCTTAAAATATTTTTTTTAATTTTTGTTTGAAAATCACTACAATGCATAATGGAAATATGTGATGTACATATATTATCCATTCTTTTATGCATTCGTTATTAGTTTTTTCTTTGATACATCCAGAAGCTTAAAGACGAAACACAGAAGGTAAGCTAAACTGAATGCATTTAGAATTAGAAATAGACGTTTTTCAAAAAATATATGGTCAAAAATATATAATATATTAATGACAGGGCCCATGAACTGAGGAATGAAATTTACGTCCCGTCATTAATTGATTTTGAATTAAAAGGAAAATCATTGGTACGTTATGTTATAAAGTGGATTCTTTATTTTTAAATAGTTCTATTTCGTCACTAACTTTCTTCATAAATTCTTATAATTAAAGGCTTTATTTAACTATTAATTATAGGTTAACTAACATTTAATAAATATTCTTATATCATTGGTTCTCTCGAAGCGGTGTCCTATAAAATTGTGATTTAATAAGGAAAGTAGAAGACATTTTTGGTACTTAGTTGAAAATACAGCGTTAATAGCATGGAGTGGTTTTTAAGAAACCCAATGCCAACATATATGTAAATAATAACTATTTGAGTGATCGGTTAGATGATGTTTATTCTTCCAGAGATGTTCTCCGAAATATACAGAGTATCTCGTAAGCAGAGAGAAATATTTAAAAGGTTTAGTAAACATCAAGATATACAATAAAGTTCATATAAGCAATTGCCCAATTTACCACAGAAAAATAGATAAGATTTGTATTTTTTTTTTACCGAGTCACGTTTTTTGTTGAATAGAAAGCGACGAAATAAAAAAATATTTGATTTAAGTTACTCAACATTGCTCCATAGTAAACTAGACAAAATTTGCTTTTAAAAAACTAGAGTTTGTCATTGTTAAAACTATTTAAAGAGGAGTATCAAGTGGACAAACACAGCTAAGTTTCGTTTAAAAAAAAAGAGTCGTTAAAATATTTATAATTTAATTGATTCAACCATCGGTGACTAAAGCTGAAAACTGAAAACAGCGACAATGTGAGCAACACTCTTGCTCACTACTATGAGCTACCCATGATCTCATAGGAATCGCTAATGCCTTACGAAGGGGGAAAATCCTGTGGCTTAGGAGTCGAGGATTTCACAGTAACATTTCGTAGCATCCAAAGTTGATTGTGCTAATAATGCAATACACTTAACAATATTAGGGCTAAATCCGTACACAAGTAAATTAAAAAATTAAAACTCGTTTAACAATATACAGCTCACAACCTTTTACAATTACTCTTGTTTCATAGTTCATAGTCACATGATCCTGTCCTTTTCATTCTCTCTCTCTCTCTTGTCTCTGCTTAAGAATTAAATCCACTATCCCGTTTGAGTTATTTTAAGGTATTTCAATAATCTTTTTGGGTGATTTTAAGGTTATTGAAATGACCGTATAAAGTTGGACAAGGTGTGGTAATTAATAATGGTTATTATGAAAAAGATGAAAATAGGTTTATCCAATTATTACTAACCTTCGCTGTTTGCATATTTTCATCTCTCTGGAAATTTGTGGATACCCTCTTATAAAAACCGTATATATTTTGAGGAGGTTCAAAAATGAAGACACTTTTTTGACATTCCCCTAACGTTGAAATATTTTATGGAAAGTACTTGAGTCATCAATGAAAACAAGTGGTCAATAACTAATCGCAAAACAAGTCAAAGTTGAAATCCAATCGGAAGGAGCTAAATGAGGTTAATACGTTATGTGGCACAAGTGTTCCTGGCCAACAATAGAAATTGTGTGTTTTGACAACTTTCGCTGTTTGTGATAGGACGTTGTCGCGAAGAACAATTACTTTTCGTGCCTTGTAGCACATTCTGGTTGTTTCTCGATCAATACATGGTTCAAATTTATCATTTCTCGAAGGTAGCGAACGGTATTAAGTGTTTCACCTGGTTTCAGTAGCTCGCGTGCAAGATGCCAATCTGATTCCACCAAATGTCTTTTTTTCAAAAGCTATTTAGTCTTGTGGTGATGATTGTTCTTGGTCAACCATGATATTTTGAGTTTTGGTTTCTCGAAATATATCCAAATATATCCATTTTTCACCTCCAGTAACCACTCAATGTACAAAAGTCTTTCTTTTATGCCGGGAAAGCAAAAATTCGCACACCGTTTTTCGCTTTTCCATCTATCAGATCATCACAAACGGCTCAGCAAACATTTAAGCTTTCAGTAATTTGTCGTGAAGTTTGCATATTCTCTTCGTCAGGGGTGCCTATCCCCCCCCCCCCAAGGTCGATTGTGCATGAACCTTCTCCCTTCCCTCTCCGAGTTATTTTATTGCTTTCCTCTTCTAAAAAACATTAGAGTAAAAGTGCCGTAGATCATATACAATTATACTTGCTACGGTTGTTCCATGTATTTCCTTTTTCACCTGGTTAAAAACTTTCCAATCTGAAAATTTATTACCTCGTCGAAATGTGTTCCCCTCAAAATTCGAAATCCCATTAAAATATGCCCCTCAAAAATTTTGATGGCACAACTTGAACCATGAAACTCTCTTCTGGGCACCTCTGCTCTTCTCCCAACAATGCTTGAAATTCTGCATCATGAATGTTTTTCGGTTCCTTGTCTTTTAAGCCAAAATTACCACTTTTGAATCGTTTAAGCCATCGGACATTGGCTAAGTTTCCATTTAGCAGAGAAGGATCGTTTCCCGAATTTTGCTAGAAACTCAACATATAACATAACCCCGCACAGAACAATATGAAGTTAGTTTAAACATCAATGGCTTTTTAAAAGGTACTATCATAGCTGCAAAATAACATACGAGGTTAGACTGTGAACAATTCTTTGTTTCCAGAGCCATCTCCTAGAAAAAATATGAATTATGTTTGTTCTTTTTTTGGCTCTAAGAATTGTAAAAGCAAGTCCTATTTTGCATGAATTATGTTGAGTAAAAAAAAAAAAAGAAAATTAATCCTTTAATGTAATATTAGATAGACCACCTATATTTTCCGGCAGACGAATAATCATGCTGTATAAATGTTCTCTTTATTTTGGAAATTTATAATATATACATATTTAATAAAGCATTTCTCATTCATTACTAGACCAGCTCAGAGATTACCAATTTCTCATGATTGGTGTTACATATGACAGGTCTTAAATTATAGATAGCATGACTAAAAATACATTTTTTAAAAATCTTTAATATATTATATCATAATTTAGAGAATATAATATATATTAGATATTTCTTGCTAAATAAAAAATACATAACAGCTGAATTGTTATAAATTCTTAGACAATGACAATTATAAATAGGCTTATTGAGCTACACGTGATATTTAAAACAAATTCCAGTTAAGTTATATTTCTATCTAACTAGAGTGGTACCCCTGTACTCCGCTTAACGAGCGCCCATTTTATAACTTTTACAACTGTTTATTTAATTGTACTACTGGTTGCTCAAATTGTATAACTGTAATTTATATGTATTCTGTATTTCAGATTGTATAATTTTTATCAACATAAAATAAAGTTAACGAAACCACAGCTTGGACAAATTTTGGATTTCCTTAAAAGTCTATAACATACGTCGCGTCTTGTTACCAATTTATATTATTATATAATAATAATTATTCTTATTGCACATTTGTAGCCATGATATATATTCAACTTGTCCAGTATCATATAAGCCCAACATAAATTTTAGCCTTTTATATCTAATATTTTTATTAAAAATTATATTGTGCTCCCTTTTCTGTTTTATAATAATTCTAATTATATAACAATATAATATAAATAATATTATACATAATATAATAACTAATATATTGTATTCAAGGAGAAAATGTCTAGATCGAAAAATACTGCTGCCACCTTGGTAAAATCAAACTATTACCTCGAGATGAATACCATTTTCCGTATAAACCTTTGCTCTAAAATCTGTCTGTATTAGAAGAGTAGAAGGTTACAGGAGCTCAATACTGTAACGAAGACAGCACGGTGTAAATCTCTAATTTGCATTAGGAGATCACAGGAGCTCAACACATATATAATTAAATGAATAGCTATATAATTAGTGCCAATTATATAATAAGAGCTCCTGTTATATCATACTCTCCTAATATTAAAATAAAATAAAATATGAAAGTCACTAAAATTATTATTATATAATACAGAGTTAACATTTCTTTACGTTATATTTTATTTATTTATTTTATCTATCAATGATATATTGACGACCTCCATTTTTTGTTATAAAAATAATTTAAGAAGAAACTCATTAAAGTAACAAATTACTTAAGTGATGCATAACATCAATTTTGCTCTAGTTATTCGAAGAACATTTATCACACGATAATCAAACTTCAACCCCCACAATTGTTAAGCGGGATGGGTCTTATTATATTAATAAGAGTATCAATCATATTTTTAATATTTTTAAAAAGTAGTTGAAATTTTTCTTTTGATACTTCTCTCATTTTCATACTTTTCTCGTTTTGATCACACAGAAACTAGTGATTTCATAATTCGATTGAACCAGATAATTTCTAAACATTTCATTAATTTGCGTTAAAAGCTTATTATTTATGCACATTTTATGGACAAAAGATCTTTTCGTTTTTCAACAATATAGTTTGGTCCATCGATTCATCGTTATTATACCTTCATTTCATTTGCAGGCTTGGTTTCCAGTTCAAATAAAAAATGGTGAGATACAAAATGTTGGAAAACTGAGATGGAAAAAACATCGTAAATGTAGATATATAGAAGATTCGGATTGCTTCAAAACTGGACCACCAAAAAGAATTTACAACGCGCAAGAAGATATAAATGACCCTAATGCCGGTGATGGAGAAGATGATGGGGAAATCGCCTATGATGACTATGATTACTATTACGATGAGGATGATGAAAAATCAACATCTAATGCTGATTCAAATGGATCCGCATCGACTGATAAAAAATCTTTTTCCATATCAAAAGAGATAACAGTAACTGATACTACCACTGACGTATCGGCAATAACTGTAGGTATCAATCCTGTAGGTACCACTACTGTAGATGATTTTACACTAATTATTGAAGATGATTCGCCACCAAAATCTACCACAGAGTGCCCACTGACCGATGACACAGAAGAACCTACTGTACGTTTTGTCCCTATTCGTAATCACTGCCGAAACCGATACCACACTTATCAGGATCAATATTTTGATATGAAAACAGAAATTATAAATACAAAATCTTATCTAAGTCCTGCATCTGATGAATACTCCACCGAAACTTCTACATTTAACTCTCAAAAAGGGAGTTTAAGTGATGAACAGTCTTGGCAGACGACAAGTACGATGTCCACTACTAATATAAAGTATTACACAGATGATTATTATGAAGATATTTCTACAAAACTAAGAGTGGAAGATGATACCAATAAATCAACGACTGATGATAAAGTTTCGACCACGGCAGGAACACCCATACTTCAGCCTGTTACTGAAATATCAGGAATATATGAAGAAAGTACAGTAAAAAAATTCAGTAGTGATACATTAAGTGTTGGGACGACCGCTTCTAAAAATTATGAATGGCCAGAAAATTATCGTTCTCCTGAACCTAAGCCCGAAAGAGTTGACACGCTCTCTAGTTTAAAAGATTTTAAAAAACAAAGTACAGTAAATAGATTCAGTAGTGATACATTAAGTGTTGGAACGACCGCTTCTAAAAATTATGAATGGCCAGAAAATTATCATTCTCATGAACCTAAGCCCGAAAGAGTTGACACGCTCTCTAGTTTAAAAGATTTTAAAAAACAAAGTACAGTAAATAAATTCAGTAGTGATACATTAAGTGTTGGTACGACCGCTTCTAAAAATTATGAATGGCCAGAAAATTATCATTCTCCTGAACCTAAGCCAGAAAGAGTTGACACGCTCTCTAGTTTAAAAGATTTAAAACCATTTTCAGATAGTGGATCTTTCCCAAGTCGACAAAAAACAAGTTCCATATATTATATTTTGCCTACCGAAAAGAACCAAACTGCGAGTACAATGAATAAGTTTACTAAAGAACAAATTGAATATACTACAAAGGCAACTGAATGTGGAGGAGATTATTTCGTAGTCGACGAGACAGATGTAAGAAAAGTGGAATGATAATTTATATTTGTTATTTTTTACACAATTAAAATAAATTTTACTGGGCTAACTACCCTTTTACAAATAAAATAAATCAGGAAGCATTTACTCAAACATTACTGAAAAAAAAAATCTGGTGCGCGCAAAACACAACTTTCACTTACCACTCAACTTTAAATAAAAATTATATTCAGACCATGTTTGGCTATAATAAAATTTTTAATTGCGTTTTGAACCGAGCTAAAAATAATAAATCTTACAGCTAACAAATAATAACTACCATTAAAATAACAAAAACCCTATTTATTATATTACCGGTTGATTACGAATTGTACGAATATTAGTTATTAAACTGTTAATTTCCATTGCAAAGTTTCCTAAAATAGAATTCCGAGATTTGCATTATCTATCATAGACAGATCAAAAGTTGTCACACTATTCACTAATTTAATGTTCTATAAGTTTACATGATGATTTTTCGGAACAAATGAACGATAGATACCTAATTATTTAAATATAATATCAGATCTAGAGTTATTAAACAACAGTTAATATATTCAAGGTTACATTCATATCTATGAAATATTTCTATATTTCACTTCTTCTCTTAAACATTATCATTGCCTTGTTTGGGTGTATTTTAAGTAATTTTTCAAGATTAAAAATATTTTAAAAGTTCAAATTTAGTTACTAAATTTCATTTAATTTCTTTGAAAACGTGTGATTGCTGTAAAATAATATTAGTTTCCAAAAATTATTATTTATAATTTTTCATCACACTCCAATACTTTCTACGAATTTTTATATTAGATATTGTTTTTTCCAAAATTCTCCGCTTTCCGACGATATGTATACCTTCTGACTAGTATTTCCGGGGATTCATTTTCGACCTGGATGAGCACTTTTTTTTTTCTCCTTTATTCAATTATCAAATTCTTTAAAAAGTTATATTATATGCTAAATATGCCTTTTTTCATAACTCCTAACAATCAGAAATAGTTAATTATTTAAAATAAACCAAATGAAAGGTAAGTTAGAGGAAGACGTATATGAACATTGGGCATTTAAAAAGCACTGTAAAGTGACATCAATAGGGATAAGACCTAAATAATATTAAATACCAATGATTATACAATGATGCATTTAGTTTAATCAAAGTCATTGGAGCAGTTTTTGAGAAAATTGTAAAAATATGTATCACTGTTGATATAAAGTAGTACTTCCGGTTAGCCAATTTTAAGGAAAAAGTTGCTGTCACATATAAACCGTATACAAACCTTAAATACGTAATATCACTAGACTGTTCACCTACACATAGACACACATACCATTTTTCGGTACTTGGTAATTTGGACCCAGGGGATCTCAAAACGTGTATTTCCGTTGAAAACTCAGATTTGATCATTTTCACGATAGCAAAACTTTCCCTTACTATCTATTACATATATAGGTAAGTGAAAAAAAAAAATGATCGGTGTAACTATTTGTTTTTAATGTTTAAATTTGATGTTATTTAATGTATTGGGAATTAATCATATTTTTATTAAGATTGCCGTGACTATTCGCTATCTAAGAAATAAGAAGTATGGAGAACTCATTTTTTTTTTTAACCTTCTTAGTTTATTTAAATAGTTAATAATAAATAATTAATTTCAGTTGATCGGTACCCCAAATCAAAGAGAGCTATTTTCAAAATATATTCAATAATGGTCGTTCTGTTATTATATCTTGTTTTTAAGGATTCGACTTTAGAAGTGATTACAACGAAAATTAACAAAGCTAATAAGACGTATATAATAAATTGAGAATTAAAAGATTTTATAGGAAATTAATCATAGGAACTTACTCATTAGTCCTAAGCATAATACATGGAATACAATAACTAAGATAAATGACTTTTACATTTTTATTGGTTTAGATATGTTCAAATTTATTTTCTTGGATTTTTAGAACCTTGAAACATAGGATTATTAGGATTGAAATTTATTTATTTGACAAAGATAAGTTTACCGACTTATGACATTTTAAACTTATAAATTAAACTTTTTCTACTTATGATCATATGTTATTTTATTTATAGGTTAATAGCAGATATGGGAAAAATCGTAATCAATGATTACTTGTTTACAAATGAATATAAAAATTAATGACCACGCCAATTTTATACTTGATACAGTAGCACTATACATATAGCAAAAGTATGAAACGATTACCTGATTACAATCTTAATCTTGTAATCATCGGATTAAAATCACTGTAATCGTAACCATAATCACGTAATCGCAATCAAAAACTCAAATACACACGATTTTCATCTGTTTTAGAGGTAAGCTAAAAGTAAAACGAGTATAAAACATTTTCTGTTTTCTTTTAGCTGTTGGGAGCACTTTCTAGGATAATACCGTCGGTTTAATATTTAACATTTTTCTAATTTTAATTCGCTTTTATCTCGTGAATGAAGGATCAGTTTTTCACCATTCCAACAGTTTTCCGGCTATGTAGAGGTATATGAAATAGGGAAATGGTGTGGAAAATTTTCAGAATTTTCATACGCTTTTCGTTTTTTATTTCGTGAGTGAATGTTCGGTTTTTCACCATTGCAACCACTGTAAAGCTCTTTAGAGACAGGCACCCCGATGGAAAAAGGATTGGTAAAAATTGTTCGAATTTTCATTTTCTTTTCCTCTCTTATCTCAGAAATGAAGGAGCAAGTTTTCACCGTTCCGACAGTTTTTCCGGATATGTAGAGGTTAACGAAAACAGAGAAATAGTGTAAAAAAAAAACCTGCAAATTTTCTTTCGCTATTCTTATTTTATCTCGGGAATGAAAGATGAAAAGCGAATGAAAATTCGGCAAATGTAAAATGTTACCAACGGTATTATCATCAGGGACAGGTTGTTTCAACATTCTAAAAGAAACTAATTCGAAAATAAAGACTAATTTCTCCATCCTCAAATTTATTGCCCCCTCCCTCTATTTTTTTTTTAAATTTCTTAATGACATTTACACCTGTATTACAAAAATACATCAAGTAAATTTGGACATAATAGATATAATGTCATATATCATCAGGAATTGAAGAGGAAGCAAGGTTAGAAACGAGAGGGTTGGGATGATTCTGAAGTTTATTATGGAAGGATAGGTATTGGGCCAGATCTGAAACATAAGGAACATTAAGATCTTTATGGATAATTTTATTAGTGACAAGGTAAAGAGCATTGAGGATTTTACGAAGGATTTTGGATTGTAAGGATTGGATGCGAGAGGAATTCGATGGTTTAGTGGAGCCCCATAGCTCAACTCCGTAAGTCCAAATAGGTCTTATTATAGTCAAGTATATGAGTCTTTTGTAATTAATGGGAAGTTTAGAGCGTTTGTCTAGTAAGTGCTGAAGTAATCGGAAACGTCGAGTGGTTTCTTGTCGTTTCAGTCTAGTATGAGGATTCCAAGTTAGTCGTTTGTCCAGGTGGATTCCTAGGTATGGGATTTGCTCAACAGGGATAAGTGGAGCATTGTTAAAGGAAACTGTAGGACAGGAAGTCGTTGGTTTATGACGAAGGGTAAAGGTAATTTGGAGGGATTTATTGGAGTTTATTTTAATTCTCCAGTTTTGACACCATTCTTCTAGATATATGATGTGTGATTGAAGCATTTGGGATGCAATTGCTGGGTCATTGTTTACAGATAGGATATATGTGTCATCGGCATATGTGGTGATGACAGTGTTGGGACAGGTAGGGATGTCAGCTTTATAAACTGTATAGAGGATAGGACCTAGGATATTACCTTGAGGAACACCAGCGGACTGGGACCCTCTATTTTAAAATAATGTAACCCCTTTTGACAACGCTATCGCAATTATTTCAGATGAAATTCTTATTTAAAAGGAAAAAATATTCTAAAACAAAATAATAACGAATACATGCGCAAAGTAACTGTCTAATGTATTGTGCCTTTAATATTCTCGAGAAACAAACCAATATTTTATATAATATCTTTTTAACTAACATTGATATCATATCTCATACAGATGCATATTAATTATGTAAGTAAGGGGGAGGGGCAATAATTTTTTTTTTGGGGGGGGAGACATGCGACAACGGCCTTGGGGGAGATGGGCACCCCAGCATGAAAAGTTACTTATATTCTAGAGCATCCAGTCCCCTTAGAATAGTTCAAATGTACAATGCCAGAAACATTTTTCTGGCTTTAGATAACAATAGGAAATGAATAAATTTTGTGCCCTAGAGGTCATGAACACCATGTCCATTATTTGATTAAATAATTTAATAATCTAATAAACAATTTTCAATAGCTAACAGTTATGAAAAATTGGCTCCCCAAAAAAATACAAAAATGTAACATGGTATCTTTTACCTTAGGGTTACAGATTTAGTAACTAAGAAACATCTTTAATGGCTAAACATTATGGAAAATCGGGTCCTATAAACAAAAACAGGAATGGTCGTGGTATTCTTTACTAACGGGGTACAGAATTATAAAATACAAGTATACATAAGTTAATTAAAATATTGACATTATATACATTCATGAAAATATACATATATAAAAATAAAATAGGTTTCTATGAATAATAAATATGAATGAAATATGAATAAAATAATCATAACAAAAACATCTAAGGCCGAATATTTCATTCTCTCCTTCTAGAATAACAATTCCACACTCCTTTAATTATATCGGACAATGAGGATAGTAAATAGATCAGGAGTGTCGGTATAATTTAGGTGATACACTCGATTAGTGTTGCACAAATGCGAGACCGAGACGAGTCTTGGTCTTGCAAACTCAGTCTTGGTCAAGAGTCTTCCAGTTACTTATTAGTTTATTGCTGTAGGGATATTACTGTAGTTTTTTAGATAGGAGAAACCTAACTAAGTCCGAATGAAAAATTAGAGGAGTTAAATGCAAAAGTATATTGGTTATACCAAATATTAACATATAGTAACTAAGATTGTCAAGTATTAGTAACTATGTT